CACAGAGACATATATATATAGTTGGCGCAAGATTGCGAAGTAGTGAAGATTGGTGACGTCACAGTGTCACAGTCATCTGAAACGGCGCCGTCGGGAAGCAGGCTCGAATAACAAAGTAGGCCTTTGGTGCAATTTTTGCAAGAGAATTATTTATATCATCATCTCCATTTTGCATAGTGTCTTATCATATAAATATATAAATATGCTGGAATTAAATTAAACCCTTCACCTTATAAATTGGCTGCATCAGCAATCATTCGATCGCCACACATTTCTCTCTCTCTCTCTCTCTCTCTCTCTCTCTCTCTCTCTCTCTCTCTCTCTCCCTCTCTCTCAAACAACTTGTATTTCCTTGTAAGTAATTCTCACTGCAAAACTTATTTACTTAGCAGCAATGGCGAAAACTAAGATCTCTGGTTTGTTCTGCATGCTTCTGGTTGTAACCCTTCTCTTCATTCAAGACTTTGCTGGTATTTATTTTAACCCTCCTCTCTCTCTCTCTCACATGCACACACACACACACACACACACACACACACACACACACACATGCATGTATTTATATATGTGTTACTGTTCTTGCAGAAAGCAGCAGCAGGGGAGCCTCAGTGGAAGTTCTGCACCAAAAGGTTTCATAATTTTCTTTGCATGTTTACTTGTTTAACATTGTCTTTTCAATATTGATATACATATATATATACACGTGTGTGTGTGTGTGTGTGTGTGTGTGTGTTTATATAGCTAAACTTGTGTGTATGGAATTGTCAGTTACTCATGGAGATGAAGAAGATGGCTTTGAAGAAGGGAGTGGGAAGCTATAAGAACAATGAGATGCCCGAGGATTGGGAACTCCGTAGGGTTCCCGCTGGACCCGACCCGTTACACCATAACGGTCAGGACCCGACCCAGCCCCGAACTCCATGAAATTTCCTCTTTTGCCCTTTTTAAATTTATATATATGTCAATTAGCTTTAATGAACACCTCATGAAGGTGTTTTTTGCTTCTAAGTACTCCCGGCAAAATTAAAATTCAGAAATCTATGTACGTATTTATATCAGATGAATATATATATGTATATATAGCTTCTTTTGCTATACATAAATGCATATGAACTCAAGATAATTTTGTATGTTCATCAAGAACTAAGACAAAGGTATAATTGATATCAGAGATTTTGAAAAAACTTAAAAAAAATCGTGTAAATTAACTTCGAAATCGTACCCACATACCGTTAACTCCTCCGACAAATACTCGAGCATCTCGTATATACTCTCTGCATCAGCATGAGATTTATCACCCGCCCCAAATCTATTCAGAATGCCGTTAACCTCAATCGAACTAATCCCAGGTTTCTTCTGCACACCACGATCCTTCATCGTCTTCCTCACATTACTCGCCCCTCTCCAGCTTCCCTTCGCTGCGTATATGTTCGAAAGCAAGACGTAATTAAAATCTCCACTCGGATCCAAATCGTATATATACTTCATCAGCCTCTCGGCCAATCCCACGTCGTCAAAATTTCTACACGCGGCTAGTAAAGAACCGACCACAACTTCGTTCGGTTTCATAGGCATATTCTTTACGACAACAAGTGCCTCTTTCAATCTCCCCGCTCGACTATAGAGATCGACTATGCATCCGTAGTGTTCAATTCTTGGAGTGATTCTATGGACTTTTCTCATGGTTTTGAACAATTTTATCCCTTCGTCTACTAAACCGGCATGGCTGCATGCTGTGAGAGCTCCTGTGAAGCTCACGCTGTCGGGGTCAAATCCGTCTTTTTGCATCGAATGGAATCCTCGTCGTGGGTACACCTCGCCCTTAAGATGCATGCACTGTCGTCGTGAATGCAAAGTTGGAGTTCCTTTTTT